TAGGAGACCTGTGACCTTGGACAAGTATGAAAGCTCCTCTGAGCCTCAGCTTCCTTTCCTGTAAATGGTTAGTAACAACACACAGAGGGCGCGTTGCTCTGTCATCTCCCTGGGTCCCAGGGGTGAGTGGACGAGTGTCCAGACTTGGGTAGAAAACAGGAACAATTTCACAGCAACAGCAGAGTGAAGGTCCTCTCTGTGGCCTGCAGCAGGGACGTGGCCGGGAAGGGCCTCAGGACATGGCCACTGCAGGCGATGTGTGAGGACAAGCATTTCCCCAGACCCTACCTGGCTCTGCCTTTCCCAGGCTTGTAGGAGGGGCTGGCCCCGGCACATAGGGCTTCTGGGGTCTCGTCTTTCATCAGGGAGCAGGAGACTAGCCAGAGCGCTAAGTTGGGGCCGAGGTGCTCGGTTCTGGACAGACCTGTTTCCCAGCACAGGCCACAGGAGCGCCTCTGAATGCTGCCAGATCCGCCTCACCCCCACCCCCACAAACCTCCTCCCCTGGTGTCCCCCAGCCCCATTCCAGCCCCGGATTCTCTCAGTGGGTGCATGTGACTTCAGGCAAGGAATATCTGGCCTGAGGAGGTGGTGAGGGGTGGCAGTGTAGACATGTGGCACAGGTGAGCACACAGCTGTGGTGTCCGGTGGCAGGTGGTTCAGCTGCAGTGGCATCTGGCACTGTGTAGTCACTGGGTGGCCCTGGCTGAGCTCTTTGTCTCCAGACTCCACTCCCTTCCACTCACGCAGGGAAGATGGCAGTGCCGTCCTCTTAGAACAGTTGGGATGCTGGAGCTGATGGAGGCCAAGTCTTCCACTGGTCCGTGGGCACTGGGTGCTGAATGGGTATTGCTGTGTTACTGCCACCAGCGTTACTCCTGGGCCTAGTGCCAGTTCCACAGTAACCACCACCATGGTGTATGCATGTGCTCAGGAGCCACCAGGAGTAAAGGGAAGTCTGGATGTAGAAACTTGACTGGAGAGATTTCCTCCTGGGGCTCCACTGAGTCCCCTGTGGCCTGGGCCTTGGTGACAGAGCAGGAGAGGAGGATGACCCCCTCTGGAGCTCACGGCCTAGATGTATGGGGCAGAGGAGGCACAAGCTTCCTTTCCACAAAGTCTCTGCCTCTCAAAGCCACCATCCACCCCCATCTGGGCTCCCTGTGAGCGCCCTGCTGTACTGCAGGACCATGGGTCAGCCATGACCTTCACCCTCTAGGAGCCCAGACAGCCATGCTGAGCCCAGCCCTGTCCCATCCCACCCCCATCAGAACTTTTGAGAAACTGGACCCCAAGGTGTTCCCCACAGGTACGGTCTGAGCCCTGTGATGGGGGGCCGTGGGCCTGGTACCTCTGCAGCCCAGTTCAGCTTGCTGGTGTGTGGCCACCTGGTCCTGCCAGGCTGCCCTCCACTCCTCGCTCTCCGCCCCTTATCCTCAAGTCCAGTTGGAGTGGCACCTTCAACCCAAAGCACCTGATGCCTGGAGGTCAGATGTCCCCCCCCACCTCTTCCCTGCCTCCCTTGTAGATGGGGGACTTTATGATGTAGGTGTCTGTGAATATGCCGTATCTGTCCCGTAGGACAGAAAGAGATCTTCAAAGGCAGAACCGGGGTGGCTGATGCATCTCCCAGCCCCCAGAGAGGGCTTGCATCTGAGGAGGGCACACCTGTGCGTGTGCAAGTGCCCGGGCCACATTCACACGTACTCACCTGCACTCAGACAGGAGCCAGGTTTGCAGCCAGGTCCTGCCATGCATTTTCATGCAAGCAGCCTCCCAAGTCTCCATGGATGGCACTGTCTTCTCGCTCACGAGCCTCTGGGGTGGCTGGGTAGTCCTGCGTCAGGCTGCAGGGCTGGGGGTGTGCTGGACTCCCATGGAATCGAGAGGGTTGGATCCAGGTCAGTTTATGTGCCATCAATTAGGGATCTCAGCTGAAGGGGCAGTGGCCATTTGAGATAAGTTCTTTTCATGGTAACCTGGAAAGAGTAAGAATGACCAGCCAAACCAGCCAGCTCATTTAAAGCCTCTACTGGCATCAGATCCATGAATTTCCACTCTTCAAAGCAAGTCTCACAGCCAAGACTCACATGAGTCGGGCAGGGACATATAATCCCACCTACTCTATCAGGAGGGATTGTGAGGTCACAGGGCAGCGTAACTCCATTACGAGGGAGTGAAGAACTGTGGACGCATTCCAGCCCAGACTCCCAGAATAAAGGCCACGCACGCTCCGTGGTGCCCATCTGTGGTTCTGTGTGCTCTCAGACATCCAGACTGGTCCTCATCTCCCGATGGGACATAAGACCACATGCTGGTGTCTTAACCTCTTGATGCTTCACGTTTGTTAGTGGGAAAATGGAGATGATTAGAATGCTTTCCTTGGAGGATTATGTGAGGTTTAATGGACTTAATATATGCACACACACTGGGGGATACCAACTGGCAACCCACAGGCTAAGTCTGCCTACAGATGTGTTTTATTTGACCTATACCATATTTTAAGACTTGAGGAATTTCACACAAAGATAAAAATTTCTAGACGTATGGTGGTAAATACAGGTAGGGAGTTGGTGAACAGCTGAGAAGATGCAGGTGAAAGCACGAAGACTGGCATTTGAGGGCTCTCTGGAAAACCGGGGGTGGAGGGGTGAGGTGGCACCACTGGAGAGGCAGGGAGAGAAAGCATCGCCAGGAGCAGGGAGGGTCAGTGTTGACCCCACAGCCCTGGGAACCGGACTCAGCTACAAGGAGCCCATGAGGATGGTGTTGGAGCAGTGGGGGAGTAGAGGGACCACCAGCAGGACGACAGGGATGGGGGTTGGGGAAGAGGTGGAGAAAGAGAGTGCAACAGTCTCTTCTAAGAAGACTGGCTGGGAAGAAGGGAGAGTAGGCTGGGGGCTGGGGGTGAGGACTGGGATTAAAAAGAGTGTTCTTAAGACAGGAGGGCCTTTAGTGTGTTTGAATACTGATGGGGAAGATTGATAGACAAAGACGTTAAGAACACAGGAAAGAGAGGGGACAGGGACCAGGAGCCAAGTTCAGGAAGGGGAAGGGACAGCTGTTCCACTGTGAGCGGAGAAGGGGTCACCCCACTAGTTAGCGGGGGCGCAGTCATTCCTAAATTCGTCCCTTAGGCATTTATCGAACATTGTCTTTACCAGCATGATTCTAGCAACAGGTGAAACAGATAAAAGCCACTACTTACATTCTAATCTCAGGAGAGAGAGAGACAATGAACAAAATAAAATTAAAACAATATAGTTCATTGGGAGGTATGACTCTGAGAATAGCAATAAAGGGGAGTGGAGGCTCCACACCTATAGCTCAAGCGGCTAAGGTGCCAGCCACGTACATCAGAGGTGGCGGGTTCGAATCCAGTCCTGGCCTGCCAAACAACAATGATGGCTGCAACCAAAAAATAGCTGGGCATTGTGGTGGGTGCCTGTCATCCCAGCTACTTGGGAGGCAGAGGCAAGAGAATTGCTTAAGCTGAGGAGTTGGAGGTTACTGTGAGCTGTGATGCCACAGCACTCTACCCAGGGTGACAGCTTGAGGCTCTGTCTCAAAAAAAAAAAAAAGGGAGGGAGCGGAGGGACCTGGGGTGAGGGCTGCAATCTCAGGATGGTCAGGGTGGGCTTCAGTGACAGGTGGCATCCTACCAAAGACTTGAAGGTGGTGGGTAAGTGAGCCCTGCCTGAAAGGATCTGGGGTACCATGCTCTAGGCAGGAGCCAGAGCAGCCTGGGGGCCAAGGAGGTTCTGCGCTAGCGGAACCTCTAGGAGGTGATGTGGTCAGGCAGAGAAGGCCGGGGACAATTTTAGGAGTTGAAGTGACCGGGCCCCAGGGGACTAAGTTATAGGACTTGGAAGCCCACGGTCAGGCCTTCAGCTTCAACACTGAGAGGAGGAGGTGCCATCAGAGGGTTTTCAGCAGAGAGGCCCTGTGATCTGACTTAGGTTTTAACGGGTCACCCTGACTGTGTGTGAGAACTGGCTCAGGGCCAGCGTGCAGCCAGAGGGGCTGGCAGGACAGCTTGGGAGAGGCAGCTTCTGTGATTCAGGCAGGAGACAAGGGTGGCTGCACGGGGGTAGTGGAGAAGCCTGTGAGAGGTGACTGGGCTCCTGACAAATTTGAAGGCAGAGCCGTCTGGAGTCGCTGATGTCCTGAGTGAAGGATGAAGGAACAGAGAGGTCAAGGATGGTGCCGAGGTGTTGAGAGGAGCCACAGAGGCTGAGGCTGCTCCTCTCTGAGATGGGGAAGGCAGAGGTGGAGCGGGCTGGGTGGGTGAAGACGCCATGGTCTGACTTGTCTGTCAGGCAGCCCAGTGGAGACGCCACGTGAACTGCAGTGCGCGTGTGTCTGGAGTCGGGAGTGTCCAGGCTGGGAGGTAAATCTGGGCATCATCGTCATGTAGGGTTATTTAAAGCCATGAGAGCAGATGAGATCGGCAAAGGAGACGGCGGACAGAGAGGAGGAGAGGTTCAGAGACAGAGCACAGGACCGTTGAGTGCTACAAGGGCAAGGGGCAGTGGCAGAACCAGCAGAGGAGATGGGAAGAGGGCAGCCGGGAGGAGGCTGGAGCCAGGCCAGGCTGCCCCTGAAGCTGAGAGGAGAGGCATTTCTCAAAGGAGCTCATGGGCATCTGGATCAAGTGCTTCTGGTGTGTCCAGAACGTGGGAAAGAGGTGTTCCTACTGGATTTAGCAAGATGGCGGACGTGGCCATTTTGACAACAGCAGTGCAGAAGCTGCTGAGCTTGGGCTGGGCACTCTGAGCATTTCAGGACCTTCCTTCCATACTGAATGGGGGGACAAGCGCATCCCTGCCCTGCACACAGGTGGTACGCTGTAAATGCTGGGGCATCGTGTGGGCTGAGGGTGTGGCTCCAACGGTGGCACAGAGGATAGGAAGTGTCTGAGTGGCCCCTGAACCCCTGGTGGAACCTTGCCAGGGACGCTCACTCCCACCATCTCTCTAGACCTGTTCTCTTCTCGGCAGATGAGCCCACTTCCCCCAAGAAGCCAAAGAGCATCCCTGAGCCACAGCACAGTGATGGGGAAGGGGAAGCCACCTCTGGCCTGCCCTCTGAGTGGACCTCAGTGAGGATCAGCCCTGGAGAGGACGCAGGGGGGCAGGATGTGCTGGCTGTGCGTGTCCTGGTCACCAGTGAGGACAGCAGGTAAGTTCGGGTCACTGCAGGATGGAAGCAGAACCAGGGTTGGAGGAGAGAGATAGCATTCCATATCCGGTCTTCTCCCCACATTTGCTGTGTGACCTCTCTGTGCCTCCATTTTCTCATCTGTGAAATGGGACCAATCACAGTTCCTGTCTTAGAGGGAGCTGTGAGCATCAGAGAATGAACCTATGTAAAGTGTGCAAAACAATGCCCGCAGGTAACAAGACCTTGTAGGTATTAGCAGTTGTTATTTTCTCAGAAAGGGCCCACCCACACCCCCTCTCCCCCCAGGAGGCAACTGTCATGCAGACTGCAGCAGAGGGGTATAGAGCAGGTGTCACCTGCCCACAGGACCTTCCCCTACAGGATAATGATACATCACGGGGAGCTCAGACAGGTGGGGCAGAACATGAGAAATGAAGCCCTGGTGCTTTGAGTGACTATTTCTCAGAGTGTTGTCCTCGCCCCCTGCGCAGAATCACCTGGACTAGTTATTAGAAATGCTGCCCCAGGCCTGCCCCCAGACACGCTGTACTCATTCAGGAAATCGGTCAGCAGCAGGTCAACTGCTGGTTATTTACTGGACTTTGAGGATATAGTGATGGCCAGCTCAAGACCAAGTCCTTGCTCTCACACGGCTTTGCTAACCAGCCAGAAAACAAGTGGTTAATAAGAAAAGCATCACACACGGCTCGGCACCTATAGCTCAACCGGCTAAGGCACCAGCCACGTACACCAAAGGTGGCGGGTTCGAATCCCCAGCCCGGACC